ACACACACACACACACACACACACACACACACACACACACACACACACACACACACACACACACACACACACACACACACACCCACACACAACCCCACACACACCCACACACACACACACACACACACACACACACACACACACACACACACACACACACACACACACACACACACACACACACACACACCATTCATTAAGATATTCTAACTGGACTGGGAAGTCCTTACATCTGCCACGTCCGGACTTTTGAGAAGGAGCAGTATATATAACCTGGCGCGGGGAGTCAGCACTCAGTCAGACGGCTACTGCTCGCTGGGACGCTACTTCTTCTCGGGACAGCCATTGAGCTAAGACAAGTGTGAAGTATTGGTGTTTTCTTATTTACATTCTAAGTGTCAGCTCCTCACCACAAGTTTCACACACTTCCTACTTTCATGAACGCTCACATAAATACAATGGTCATCTCTGAAGCCGTCATTGGAACTTCCTTCCCTCTAGTAAGTAAATTATGAGTATTTTTTGTATAGCAGTTTAAACCTACAGAGGGTCAGAACTTATTACTCACGAGTTCTCAGATGTAGCCTCTTCTTCTTTCTAGCATACAAAAGGATGCTAGAAATGACCCTATTAGGCAGACTGTTTCATTCATCGGTGACTTCATTGCCATTGAATGGTGCAACAATATTGGGGGACTGAAAATAAGGCAGGAAGTGCCGCAACCACTAAAAATTAAAATAATCTATGATGAATTAATCTGTGAATAGAGGACACGACAAGCTTAGCCTTGCTTCTGTAGTTACGAATATTTACTAAATAGGTACTAATTACAAACTAGTTCTAATATTAGTTGGGCTTTCATGTGTCTAACCATGGTATATCAGATCTTGAATGACAAAAATAGTTACTCTTTCAAAATTATTCTTGCTTATATAATATTTTTTTTTATAATTATAGCTGCGAGAATACTGGATGGCTAATGTTGTGTTTCTGATTCAGGGATATGCAAACAAACCCGACCATGTCTTCCCTGTCACCAGTCGCGTCAGGCGTAAGTATTCCTTTAGTCGTGACCTGATTGGCACTCTCATTACTCTCCTTTACTGTCACGACCTCACTCTCTGTCACCACTACTGTTATTTTACTGTCACGACTTCACTGTCACCAGTACTTTTCCTTTACTGTCATGACCTCACTGTCTGTCACCATTACTGTTATTTTACTGTCACGACCTCACTGTCACCAGTACTATCTCGACCTCACTCTGTCACCATTATTGTCGCCTTTACTGTCATGACCTCACTATCTCCTTTACTGTCATGACCTCACTGTCTCCTTTACTGTCATGACCTCACTGTCTCATTTACTGTCATGACCTCACTGTCTCCTTTACTGTCATGACCTCACTGTCTCCTTTACTGTCATGACCTCACTGTCCCCTTTACTGTCATGACCTCACTGTCTCCTTTACTGTCATGACCTCACTGTCCTTTACTGTCATGACCTCACTGTCCCCTTTACTGTCATGACCTCATTGTCTCCTTTACTGCCATGACCTCAATGTCACCATTACTGTCACCATCCCGCTGTCATCATTACTGTCATGACCTGCATTATTATCATTATTGTCTTCTTTGCTGTTGTGATATAAGATTGGTTATTAAATTAATGGGGAAACTCACAACCAGTAATGGGCATACGGGACCTGGGGAAAGGTTAAGGATGGGAGGCATGCATGATTGATTCAAGGAAGAGGAGGGTAGCTCAAACTTCTTGGATCTAGAGACCTTTACCAGCATCAGATTACTCTTCCCCTATTGAAGGTCATCTCGGTAATAAATGAAGCGTTTAATCAAAATCTTGCACAGTTTGCTGAGAGTACTGAGTTTCAATTGAGGATGACAATATTACTTTTAGATTTAAGAGAAGAAAGGTAAGTTGATAGCGTCGAGGAAGGGGGGCTATTCTTAATTAAACGCTATCAACTTGCCTTTTCGTCTCTTAAATATAATACCAATATTGTCAGCCTTTCTTTTGACAAAGGCAATTCGGTGGTTGTCCTTGATCGCGAGGGTTACCTCCGTAAGGTGAAGCCTTGCAGTACTGAATTTAGTAAGTTACCTCGTGTTTCTTTTGCAGGGTCCATCTTGACAGAGGCTGCCAGAGAGGTCAGCTACGCTTCACAAGTAAACAGGAAGATCAAAGTGAAGGGAGGAACCGCAGATTATTTACAAGTCACAGAAACTAATAACCTGATTGTTGGTCCCCAGAGCGAACGCACCTCAGCAGGTAACGTGAACACAGTTCAGGCACAGATATATACCGAGAGGTGTATTTTTCTGTGTATATTCACTGAAAGCTTACTTTAAAGTGTACTGGATCTTAGTGTGGTCAGGAAGTCTACTCCCCTTGAAAACATACAATTTGGCTAACACAATGTTGTATCATATAATTGTTATCATAAAATTTAAGATTATAATCCGTGATAACATTTTCATATTGAAAAGTTATGTTATTAAAGTTGTAGGTTATAGTGACAATTTTTTATGTGTTGACTACCTGAATTTATGTCACGACTTTAGGCGCTAAGACCAAAATAGAATGTAGCATCGGACAAGGGTTAGGATATGTGTAATAACTACAAATATCCAGACTGTGTAATACCGGAAAATGAAGACACATAATGTAAAACCAGGAGGGATTAAAGCTAAATACAAGTATGCAGAGGTAGAAAATTATGTTAGCATAATGAAACAGTAATGTTAGAAAATAATAGTGGAGACTGAATGTGTGAATATGATTATCGTAGACAGTACCGACAGGTTGATAAGACATGTGTAACAGTTAGGTTACTTCATTCCGAAACGTTTCGCCTACACAGTAAGCTACTTTAGTCGAGTACAGAGGAGGTAGCAGAAACAGTAGAGATGTAAAGACGATGTCATCAGCCCATCATCCTTCAGGATGTAGCTTTCAGGGATTATGGACTGATTACATCATTATATCTCTACTGCTTCTACCTCCTATGTACTCGACTGAAGAAGCCTACTGTGTAAGCGAAACGTTTCGGAAAAAAATTACCCGTTGCACATGTTTCTTATCAAGAAGCTAAATTTACTAGTGCTAATATAAGTGTTTTTTTTTTTTTCAAAATATAACGTGTGTATGTGTGCGTTGTTTTAACAGCGTGTTTCCGAGTACACACGTTCGAAGTGCTGAGGCCCTACCCTGAAGGTGGTCAAGTTGTGGTGCTGGAGACTCATGATGGTGGCCGCTTCCTCCACGGCAGCGCCTCTGGCAGCCTCTCCCTCATGGTCAGTTCCTTAACAATCTGGTGAAAAACAGCCTTTAAATAACATTTATGCAAATTATTATTATCATGTTAGCATAGGTAAGTTTATTTAGGCACAGGTTCACATAAGTATAATTATCACAGTAAATTACCCAGGATAACGCCACAAAATTCAAAGTGACTTATTGCCATTGGGAGTATACAATACTAAACAATAGGTGGGCTATTTAGTGTTTTATTTTATTTTTATAATACACTTTACTTTTAGTTTTACATAAATAATGTGTTAAGGCTGTTCCTAACACTCCAGATGCTGACATCTTGTCTGTACAAACTTTCTGTGAGGTGACTGTGTAGACGCCGACTGGAAATTATGCTTCGAGTGAAGAGTTAGTGATGATGATTGGTCGAGTGTGAACTATGTGGTTCTTAACTTTTAGTTGTTGATTTATTTATGATTGAGTGAAATCAATAACGGATGTCGAAGCTGTTTACTAATACACTGTCTTACTGTAAACATACTATCAATCTCTCATAATTTATTAGTACTGCTACTGAGATTAATATAGCTTTATCCTTCAACATGCATTTAATTCATATATAAAAAAGTATTTTAACACACCGGCCGTCTCCCACAATGGTAGGGTAACCTGAAAAAAAAAAAATTACCATCATTCTATCACCTTGCAAGAGGCACACTGACATTACAGCTCCAATGCTTCTCTAAACTGCGATATCCCCACACTTCCTTCAGAGTGCAGTTACTGTACTTTCCACTTCCAGGATTCATCGGCTAACCGGTTTTGCTGAATCCCTTAAGAAACTTTACCTTGCGTCGTCATAAAAACTACTTAATAATAATAATGATAATATCTTTATTTACCACAAGTACAAGGTATACAGACCATACCTGGACCTGGAGTTTACCTGGAGAGAGCTGACATCAATGACATACTACTAGTACATATAGGAAGCCCCTTGTTATGATGAGCATTTCGGGCAAATAAGGTCAGTTTTGTTCCAGGTTGCGACCCACACCAGTCGACTAACACCACCACGCCAGGTACCCATTTTACACTGATGGGTGAATCTCAGAAGTACCAGTTCCTAGTAACCAGTTGCCGGTAACCAGTTACCAGTAGTATGACTAACAACCGTCTGCGTGAATCACTGACTGTTTCACGTTGCAGCTGACCATAGCATGTTTTTGAACGCCGCTCACCCCTTGGCATCACTTGGGAGTCAGTTTTAAGATAGAGAGCAGAGAGGCAGGGCGGGCCTGTGCTTCCCATATTTTCCGTTATAATTATACGTACTAACCAGCCTACGTGAGAGTTCTTACCCAATCCACGTTTCGAACCCCCCACATGACATGAACAGGGATAACATGTCACTAATGTTTTCCAGCCGTACCGGAGGAGATTCGAACCCTGGACCTCAGTGTGAGCTGAGTGCACTAGCGATCGAGCTACGGGACACTTGCCTTCCCTCCACTGCAGATTTATATATCCTCCAAGTCATCCTATTTTTCTCCAGCCTCTCTACTGTCCAAATCACCTTAATAACTTCCTCAGCTCTCTGGATAATATTTTTAGTAACCCCACACATCCTTCTAATCTCCAAACTACGAATTTTCTGCATGTTATTCACACCACAGATTGCCATAGGTACCATATCTCAACTGCCCCCTTCAAGATGTAAAACCCATGCCTCATACCCATGTAAGTGTTCGTACCACTATACACTAATACATTGCCCCCCTTTTGTCCACGCGAGTAACGTTCTTTGTCTCCACAGATACCTCATTGCACTACTCACCTTTTTTTACCCTCAGTTCTGTAGTTCACCTCTTCTTTCGCAGTTCCATCAGCCGACAAGTCAACTTTCAAATATCTGAACACATTCACCTATCATACTCCCTCCTTCCAATCTGATAAAAAGTATATTTATATAAAGGTGTTCTTATACCAGCGTTGCGTTTCAGGAAGGGACGAGGGTGGAGATGGAGCAAGCCATGCAGACAGATGACAGGTTCTTCCTAGTGTACAGTGATGTTGGGGACCGCTACACCAAGATCAAACACCTTCATACAGGTAAGATGCAGCACTCAATGGTTCTTGCTGCACATGCATTTGAAAAAGTTATTAAAACTCTTATTGAGAGCAATTTCTTCATATATTGCAGTATACACAGTCTCAATAATGTGTGAGAGAATCACAACTCGTTTTGATTGAATCATAAAATTTCATAAAAAAAATTATATAATCACAAAAAAATGATACAATAAAAACAGATCTAATTTAATCATAAATGATTTGATAGAATCATAGAAAAGACCTGACAGAATCATAATAAGAGCTGACCTAAATATAATTTAAGTATTGGCATTATTGCCGACATTAAAGATTCCACATCACCGCACTTAGCAGGAGGATCGATCCTCCACCCCTTCAGCTGAATGATCCACAAGGCTTTAGCGCTTTGCATTAAATTATTAAATCAACAATAAAAAATAAGTTACAACAAATATTGCATTGACTCCTTTTGCGTAAATGACTTAACCATTGTATCCACCACGAGCGTGTAAGTAAACTTGGGTTCTAATGTGCATTTATTGATCCACAGGACTGTTCCTGTCAGCCTCATACACCGAGGTGTCTCTGCTCAGTCACACAAGCGGCTTCTCTGACCAAATGCTATTTGAAAGTTTTCATTGTAGCCATTCTTAGTCATCCGCTGGTGATGTTACGTAGGCCTACTGTGACGTTACACAGGATTAGTCTTCTACTCGCTGTGGCGTTACGTAGGCCTATTTCCTACCCAGTGTCGCTGAATTGTAGGCCTGTATCCTATTATTGACGTTATGGAGGCTTCATGACTCATGCCTGCTGTTGCCGATTTGCACGTGTACTATCTCCTACCTACCTGCTGTTCATGAGTGGCAGGTTTACTGACTGTCTTGCATGCTATGGACATTGTGTAAGCCTACTGCCTCCTGGCTGCTATTGACCTTGTATGGCCTTGTGTCACCACGTTGGTGATGACGCATTATAAGACGTGCGTTTCCTGTCTGGTGGCGCTTTTATGGATATCTAAACAGGTGACACATGCGTGCTACACATGTATCTCACACAGGAAGCTGTGATGTCATACGTATACACCTGTTATCTTAAGGATAGGGTGTCAGCCTACAGCCTCAACATCTTGATACAAAAGCGCTGAGCTGCAATCAACATAATTATCAAAACTACTTCTGTGTATATTTTGAATATTTATTTATATTTATTAAAAATATTTTAATTTATTATATAATATTACTGGAACCTGGATGTCTCAGATTTTCACATTGCTTTAATATATTTTATAATTTATTAATTAAATCATTTCTTAAATAGTGACTTTATGTCCCCTTTGACATCAAGACCATAAACTAAGTAGTATATCAAACTATACATAGAAACAAAATGTATTAGTATACAGAAGACAGTATCAAACTGTTATAATCGTGATCATATTTTTTAAGGAGTGTATAGCAGTATAGAGCAACTGCCCTATTATACCAGCAGTATATAGCAGGAAGCAGCAACTGTCCTGTTATACCAGCAGTAAGCACCAACTGTCCTGTTATACCAGCAGTAAGCACCAACTGCCCTGTTATACCAGCAGTATACAGCAGGAAGCAGCAACTGCCCTGTTATACCAGCAGTAAGCAGCAACTGCCCTGTTATACCAGCAGTAAGCAGCAACTGCCCTGTTATACCAGCAGTAAGCAGCAACTGCCCTGTTATACCAGCAGTAAGCAGCAACTGCCCTGTTATACCAGCAGTAAGCAGCAACTGCCCTGTTATACCAGCAGTAAGCAGCAACTGCCCTGTTATACCAGCAGTAAGCAGCAACTGCCCTGTTATACCAGCAGTAAGCAGCAACTGCCCTGTTATACCAGCAGTAAGCAGCAACTGCCCTGTTATACCAGCAGTAAGCAGCAACTGCCCTGTTATACCAGCAGTAAGCAGCAACTGCCCTGTTATACCAGCAGTAAGCAGCAACTGCCCTGTTATACCAGCAGTATACAGCAGGAAGCAGCAACTGCTCTATTATACCAGCAGTACACAGCATGAAGCAGCAACTGCCCTGTTATACCAGCAGTGTACAGGAGAAAGCAGCAACTGCCCTGTTATACCAGCAGTATACAGCAGGAAGCAGCAACTGTCCTGTTATACCAGCAGTATACAGCAGGAAGCAGCAACTGCCCTGTTATACCAGCAGTAAGCAGCAACTGCCCTGTTATACCAGCAGTAAGCAGCAACTGCCCTGTTATACAGCAGTAAGCAGCAACTGCCCTGTTATACACCAGCAGTAAGCAGCAACTGCCCTGTTATACTCAGCAGTAAGCAGCAACTGCCCTGTTATACCAGCAGTAAGCAGCAACTGCCCTGTTATACCAGCAGTAAGCAGCAACTGCCCTGTTATACCAGCAGTAAGCAGCAACTGCCCTGTTATACCAGCAGTAAGCAGCAACTGCCCTGTTATACCAGCAGTAAGCAGCAACTGCCCTGTTATACCAGCAGTAAGCAGCAACTGCCCTGTTATACCAGCAGTAAGCAGCAACTGCCCTGTTATACCAGCAGTAAGCAGCAACTGCCCTGTTATACCAGCAGTAAGCAGCAACTGCCCTGTTATACCAGCAGTAAGCAGCAACTGCTCTGTTATACCAGCAGTATACAGCAGGAAGCAGCAACTGCCCAGTTATATCAGCAGTATACAGCAGGAAGCAGCAACTACCCTGTTATACCAGCAGTACAGCAGAACAACTGCCCTGTTATGATACCAACAGTACACAGAAACCCCTCTTGTTATACCAGTAGTGTACAGCAGGAAGCAGCAAATGCCCTGGTGTAATACACAACGTCACTATCTCCACTCATCTCATGAGGTGTTACCAGTAATATTTAAGTAAAAAAGTGAGCAATTGCAGCTCAGATTTTATCTTCGATGCAGACACAAATAATTTAACTTATTAAAAAATTATGTTTTGTATTTCATGAGATCTTTTACTAAAACAAAACAAAAAAATACAGAAAGCAAACTATGTTATGAAAATATCAAAATCTGGTTGGCAACAACGGCGCGGCACTAAGCTCTATTATTTCACAATGTTTCGTTTAATAATCACAATACCGTACAGTACTATTAGGAGCCTCTGGTCAAGATCGAATCCTCAAACTTCATTGTTATCTATACAGGCATATACGAAAAACACGAGGCAAGAATGTAAATTTGGCAAGAGAAGCATCCTGCTGACCACACAGCCCAACCTACTTAACAGGTAGACATAAGATTGTGGAGCACAGGATAATACACCGAGAGGTGTATATCTCTTCTCATTTTTATGCTAATAGTTTATCTTAATCCCTATTTTAGGGATTGACGCAGTATTGTATGGTGGCGCACAGGTTATATGCAGCCTGAATAACCCTTGTGTAGTCGAAAGGGCTTCAAACAGAATAAAGAAAGGAAGTGTGGCATTGTGTGGGTGTGTGGTTGGGAGAGCTGGATACAAGCTCAGCCATATGAGTGAGTGCAGGCACAGCACACACACACCGTCATGGCTCAACACATAAGTTACTTCTCACCAGGACCTGCAAAAATACCAGACGAGGTAAGAAAGTCTCATAGTGACGATTTACGATCCCTCTTTTAAAGGATGTCAGTTGTCATTTTTTTTAGTGTGAAGATGAGACGCACTGCACGAATTAATTATGCATAGAACGAATTTTAGGGAGTGCAAAGCCATGCGCTACAACCAACAGTGGAATTAGCCACAACCATGTATTTATATTTCATTTAATGGACTTAATTAAGTTGCTGTGGTATTTGAGATAGCAAGTGGTTTACAAAGCTGTTATGCTTGAGGGACCACAAATTGATTTTTTGCTTTATCACGTCCCTTGCTGGAGTAAATTAGAGATTATCATGCATAGTGGCCTGACCTTCGTGACCTTCAACGAAATTTCCACTGGCTTGGGTGCGAACTGTCCTTCAGACAACTAAAGTTTGAAATTGATGCAGTGAGATTCGAGTCCAAGCAGGAAGAGTTGTGTGTTGAAGGGTTGGTGGGGACAATACACAAATAACCCGCACATGAGAGGAGGTTACAACGATGTTAAAGTCCGACGTAAACTACTACTACTCTCCCATGTGAGGATTATTTGTGTATTGTTCCAGTCACGGTATTGTGCCTTTTTATTTAATGCTGGGGGACATAAGGCTCTTGCATGGTCTCCAGTCCGGCACGATGTTGTTCCTATCATCAACCTCCATGACACTCGTCACCAGCCACCAGGAGCACTTCGCATCACCACCCTTTATCTTACTATAACAGTCAGATGATCAGCATGTGTAAGATGTGGTGTAGAACCTTCTGTTAAACTAAAGTATCTTTTTTTTTTCAAATCATTCAAAACATTCTTTTTTTTACCTGGAGAGAGTTTCGGGGGTCAACGCCCCCGCGGCCCGGTCTGAGACCAGGCCTCATGGTGGATCAGGGTCTGATCAACCAGGCTGTTACTGCTGGCCGCACGCAAGCTGATGTACGAACCACAGCCCGGTTGGTCAGGTACTGACTTTAGGTGCCTGTCCAGTTCTTCTTGAACACAGTTGAATAAAGTCATCACATATTGTTCTGGACAGATATGGAGGAGTTTCAAATTGTCTGTTTTATGTGGCTCGAAGGAAATAGATCAAACTTAGGAGTGAGTTTTAACAAGTCAATGTAGTTGCCATTACTGGTAAGCCAAATGTTTCATGATATTCACTGAAAGGTAACCCACGCTCCGCCAGTGTGGTTAATGCTGTTGCTATGTTATGTTCCATTAGTTGACTCGAGAGATGAACCACGTTTTGTCCTATGATCGTCAAAGTTTTCATGGCTGTATTTAATTGGATTACTCCAGTCAGTAAGTGCTGTAGATTTTTTAATAAATTTTGTTTATATATATAACAACTTGGTTGATCAGGCCCTGATCCACCGGGAGGCCTGGTTGTGGACCGGGTCGCGGGAAAGTTGATCCCTGGAATACCCTCCAGGCGGACTCCAGGTATTATTTTTTTTAATAGTCACATTTTGGCAAGATTGTTTTAATACCTTAACAGTTAAATCGTACAATAATTTTTGAAAAAACAAAATATTAAGTATGGGTTCAGAGCCGAATTTATTCATAACCAAATGGAAAAAAAAATTACTAAACTTTTGAGAGGCCCCTTCAAACTGTAAGTTTGAAGGGGCCCTTCAAACTGTAGTTTGTTGAGCGTATGGTTAAATCCAACCCCGACTCTCTCATTAAATTTCTACTATTGCATTATTCAAATTTGTCTTAAATTTTACCATTTTTTCAGTGTTATTTTTTTTCTCGTTTAACATCAAATTGTTGTGGATGGCCCACTGAAAGATGGTTTACGTCAGTTTGAAGATTTACTGTGTCCTCGATGGACGCCACTCTTATACATATTTTGTTTCGTCTGCAAAGGCTGATATTGTTTCAAGATTTATATCCCTGCCTAAGTTTGATATAGGAATATGAAAGAGGACAGAGGCGAGCACTGTGACTTGAAAAAGATTTTCACAGCGGTAGCTCCTAATTTTTACTGTTACTCTTTAGGTTCTGCTTGTTAAAAAAAGTTAAATATCCATCTGTCCACTTTTCCAGGTATTCATTTTGCATGCATTTTGTGCTCTATTACACCATGGTCGCACAAGACACCCTTTACAAAGTCAGTTCATGCCTCCTCTGCAATTTACTCGTCTCCCAGAGCATCCAAGACCATGTCATTGGCCAGTAGGTAAAATTTTATTTGCTGTTCGTATTCGAAAACGACTACTGCACAACCTGCACCAAAGCAGATAAACTAGACTAGAATTACCCAGCAGTAACGAGTTTACCTGGAGAGAGTTCCGGGGGTCAACGCCCCCGCGGCCCGGTCTGTGAGGCGACAGTGGTCGCCCTCATGGCTTGTTTCCTTCACCTACTTTCACTTGCCTTGTCTGTTTTCCCAGGTACTTCATTCCTTGATGCCGTAGAGGGTTTTTTAAACCAAGCAATTAGACATATTCTGCCCTTCCTTGGATCGTACCTAATTACCTCTGAGTCCAGAGGTACTGTATGACCTCTATGGGTTTAGCACTTCCTCCTAAATATAATATAATATGTATCCAGTAGTGAGTATCATACGGTGGGCACTACTGACTTCACTAAGTGCTGGTACGAGGTAACGGAGCGAGCAATCAGTGTCTATATGACTAATACAAGTTAGAGACAGAGAGGGCTGATGGTGTTAAATGACCTTCCACTTTGGGTGTGAATTATTTGCATATATATTTTTGTTTTTTTGGGCGTCTTGTGAAGACTAACACAGCATCAGGCTGTGCTGATCAGAGTCCGCGCCAGCAAACAAAACCGGTTATCTTAAAATAGATTTAGAGGTTCCAGCGAGTGCGCTCAGCTCCCCCCCCCCCCCCCCCACACACACACCTTATTGAAAGGCTAACTTTGTCAGACCCACAATTAGATTCTTTAAATCCAAATTTGCCCCAATTAAAATTAAAAATTATCAATTATCCAGAGCAATTACCTGCAGTGGGATCTTAGGTTAATCAGTGACTGCTTCACTACTATCCTCTAATCACCTAATCTGACACTCCTCCATTTTCAACCTAATCTTATTATAATAGACAAAATATAACAATGTAGATGGGAATTTGAGATCAAGGAAAGTAGGGGTAGAAAAACATTGTTTCCTATTTACTGAACATTTCAACTATTACAAGAGTTTACGCTTGCATTCCTACAGCTTAATTACTATACAGAAATGGGGCCATATTACTAGGGAGAATGGGTAGGGGAGAAGCAAGAGGTATGTCTAGAATTTGGTCCTTACAATATACTTCAAGTCTAGACTATAATTTTTAAAGGGGTGGACCGGTAAGCCAGCGGAAGGCCTCGGTCAGATGACCAAAAGCTCCAAAGGCGGGTCATCATCTGACTAAGACCCGCGTCAGGAAACATTTGTCCTGTTTCCTGACGAACCTTACCTAACCTAACCTAACTTCAAGTCTATTAACTATATGCAGTCCAGGAGAACACCTTCCTGGCTGTCTCACACCAGTCTCACCTTCCTCTTGACATTCTCGGCTTCATAAATCCTTGATACAAGAGACCTCCTTGATATAAGAGACTTTGATCATTGTTCTGGACAGTCGATCCGGAACACTGATCAAAGTCTGTTACTATCGCTACAAAACACTCTTCCCTTTCCACCACGATTACCATTAGCAGTTCCCCCCACTTAGTCCATTATATATATGAGGGTTCACTACCAGATTTATGAATAACACGGATGAACATATTCAAGAATTTAAAAACAAATTATGTCTCAGCTAAATGTAACTAATCATAAGTAAGTTTATTTAGGTACAGGTACACATAAATAGTTACACAAATTATCATACCTAGTAAATGTATAAGTTACCTAGGATAACCAACAAAGTTGCACAAAGTAACTTATTTCCATTGGGGTGTGTTATGGTACATCATATTTTTTAGATCTGCGAGATCTGCCTTAGGAGATGGGTCTAGGTCAGCATTTCTTAATAGCAGAGGGTACAAGGCCACAACCCAGGTCATCAGCAATTCTTACCAGCACTTAACAACTGGACACTGGCTGGAGCAGTACACAAGTTGGCTGAGGAGAAAACTTTTTCTCTTCTAAACACTTCTCTCTGTGCGAGACTGCGTCTGAGACCACATTCTTGCACCAACATAAATATATATTCAAAATTCGACCTTGCATATTTTTTTGTCAGATGCATTGCGGCTAGGTTTTTTTTTGTGGATTGCTTACTTTTTTTTTTAAGGTGGAGTACCATGGTACTGGCGAATGGCTCTTAGATACATGGTATCGAGTTATCCTCCCCTTCATTAAATCAAACTTGATTATGGCACTCTCTCCAGTGAGTAGTATAGTGGTATGAACCAGTTAGGGCTGTGAGTGTTGCCAGATCCCATGACAGGTGAAGGGGTCAAGGATGGTGCATCATGTTAACAATGAAGGAAGATTATTTTTAGCTTAAAAAAAAAAAAGGCGCAGAGTATAAAATAAAGTTATTGTGTATTTGTACTGTTTTTGTGAAGGATATACAGCGCTCTGTATCACCTATGTGGTTACAAGGGTCTATAGGTCTCTTCTCTTGTTTCTTTTTTCCTCATTTTATATATATATATATATATATATAATATATATATATATATATATATATATATATATATATATATATATATATATATATATATATATATATAATTATATATACGTATATGTATATTTCATGCTACATAGTTCCACACAAGAGATTAGTGCAAAAACTGAAGAAGCCGGCAGTTGTGGAAAATTGCATTTATCTGAATGTAACTAATTATGTACATAACAGTAAATGATAACATAGATAATTATTATTTATCAATGTTACATAGACAAGTAGGAATTTGGGACACCTAGGTCGCAAAAAATGTCCCCCTTCGATACCTACCACTGTCATAACCACAAGTTGCTCTGGCCCTATTAATTAAATGAAATATACATACACCAGGAATACTGGTAAATATATAAATTTGTGGACTGTATATTAAAAATAAATGGTTATATATATACACAATTACATAACAGAAGGAAAATATATCTTAATATCACTCAACAATTTGACTGGATATTAAGTTGCATCATACTCAGAAAAACCTCACTAACTAAATTTATGAAAACACTGGCCAGAATTATACACAAATCTAGAGAGCTTATCTGAGGTTCCTGGAGCTGTCTTGTCCAGTCGTCTGATATCTCAAGTTATGCAGGAATGCACATCCACCAATTTCGCCTCCTATTTGAGAGGTGTCAACACAATTTTAACCTCTAGAGCACGAAAAATTCTTCCCATTACACCAACGTTGTATCCAATTCAAAACCAAGATGGCGAGTCTTGTCTGCGCAGACGCAGGCTTTCCGTTTTCTATGACATAAATATTATTAAATACAGTATGGCCATCTATTTACATATAAATACTGAATTTCTGGAAAATATATACAGTATTTTCCACAGCAGTAATGACAGGAAATGCACTGCGATGGATTAGGGAATAGCACTAACATCCCATATCATAAAAATCTTTGAAAGGGTCCTAAGAAGCAAGATCGCCGCCCATCTAGATACCCATCAATTAGACAACCCAGGGCAACATAGGTTTAGAGCAGGTTGCTCCTGTCTCTCAGCTACTAGATCACTACGACAAGGTCCTACATACACTAGAAGACAAAGAATGCAGATGTAATATATACAGACTTTGCAAAAGCCTTCGACAAGTGTGACCATGGCGTAATAGTGCACAAAATGCGTGCTAAAGGAATAACAGGAAAAGTTTGTAGATGGATCTATAATTTCCTCACAAACAGAACACAGAGTAGTAGTCAACAGAGTAAAGTCTGAGGCGGCTACAGTGAAAAGCTCTGTTCCACAAGGCACAGTACTCGCTCCCATCTTGTTTCTCATCCTCATATCTGACATAGACAAGGATGTCAGCCACAGCACCGTGTCTTCCTTTGCAGATGACACCAGAGTCTGCATGACAGTGTCTTCCATTGCAGACACTGCAAGGCTCCAGGCGGACATCAACCAAATCTTTCAGTGGGCTGCAGAAAACAATATGAAGTTCAACGATGAGAAATTTCAATTACTCCGATATGGTAAACATGAGGAAATTAAAACTTCATCAGAGTACAAAACAAATTCCTTCCACAAAATTGAGCGAAAAACCAACGTCAAAGACCTGGGAGTGATCATGTCGGAGGATCTCGCCTTCAAGGACCATAACATTGTATCAATCGCATCTGCTAGAAAAATGACAGGCTGGATAATGAGAACCTTCAAAACTAGGTATGCCAAGCCCATGATGACACTCTTCAGGTCGCTTGTTCTATCTAGGCTGGAATATTGCTGCACACTAACAGCACCTTTCAAGGCAGGTGAAATTGCTGACCTAGAAAATGTACAGAGAACCTTCACGGCGCGCAAAACGGAGATAAAACACCTCAATTACTGGGAGCGCTTGAAGTTCCTGAACCTGTACTCCCTGGAACGCAGGTGGGAGAGATACATGGTTATATACACCTGGAAAATCCTAGAGAGACTAGTACCGAACTTGCACACGAAAATCACTCACAACGAAAGCAAAAGACTCGGCAGACGATGCAACATCCCCCCAATGAAAAGCAGGGGTGTCACTAGCACGTTAAAAGACAATACAATAAGGGTCAGGGGCCCGAGACTGTTCAACTACCTCCCAGCATACATAAGGGGGATTACCAATAGACCCCTGGCTGTCTTCAAGCAGGCACTGGACAAGCACCTAAAGTCGGTACCTGACCAGCCGGGCTGTGGCTCGTACGTTGGATTGCGTGCAGCCAGCAGTAACAGCCTGGTTGATCAGGCTCTGATCCACCAGGAGGCCTGGTCACAGACCGGGCCGCGGGGACGTTGACCCCCGGAACTCTCTCCAGGTAAACTCCAGGTAAATACCTGACAGGAAGGAAACGAGTGATGGTACGTGACGAGATATCGGTGGGTTCTTGTGACGAGCGGGGTTCCACAAGGGTCAGTCCTAGGGGTTCTGTTTCTAGTATATGTGAATGACATGACTGAAGGGATAAATTCAGGTGTTTTGTTTGCAGACGATGTGAAGCTAATGCGGAGAATTCAAGCGGATGAGTATCAGGTAGGACTACAAAGGGATCCGGACAGGCTGCAAGCCTGGTCTGACAAATGTCTCCTGTAGTTTAACACCAGCAAGTGCAAAGTCATGAAGTTTGGGGAAGCTCAGAGAAGACTGCAGATGGAGCACATGAGAATTTCAGTGAGGAAGGGTAAATTCAAAAATTTATTTCTTTGCATAGTATACAATATGTAGTTACGTGTAGTAAAACTGTTAAGCACAAAGAAAGCCACTAGCAAATGGGATTAAGTCGAGCGTATGAGAGAATCGCATGTACCACTACAAGGCAATGTTACATGTACTGCTGCAAGACTAATAATTATGTATTGTTGCAGGTGCTTGCACAGGTGCAAGAACAACTGATAAACTTCGATACCACTGGCGTAAGCATCATGGAACTTTCTCACCGATCTAAGGATTTTGCAAAGTTCATGGATAAAACCGAGGCTGTTGTCAGAGATTTGCTGTAAGTACTTGTTAAACAGGGTAAACCTTAAAGTTCAGCCACAGGATCTAAATGTTCCTTAAAAACACGTATTTACGAAAACCCACAGGTGTGTACCAGACAACTATCGTGTGCTCTTCATGCAAGGTGGCGGATCAGGACAGTTTGCTGCAGTCCCTCTCAACCTCATCTCCAGGACGGGCAAAGCAGATTACATAGTTACCGGTGAGTAGCAATGGGAGGGATAGAAAGATAAACAGACATAATTGGGGTAAAGAGGGAAGAAAATGGGAAGAGAAAGATTTATAGAAAGAGGGAGGGAGAGAAATGAGGAAGAGAGGTGCCAGTAAATGAAGGGAAGAGGAAGGAAAACATGTAGTGAGATATCTAATTAATAGCAATTCCCTGGACAGGATATGAGAATGGTGAAAGGGGTGTCTTTCACATTTATGTACACTCATTCATCATAAAGTTGATTAGCTGGAAACTCTTGAACAATGCAGGTGAATTAACATTCACACACACAACTGGGGAGAACTCTGGCACATCTAAAACAGATTACACTTACTGCTATAGTTGTACCTCGCAGACAAGTGGGACAGTGGGTCCCTGCACTGTTCCTGTTCTGTCTACCAACGAGCACAGATTTACCGCCGACGTCGTCACTGCTCCTCTAACACTATTAACTTTATCTTCCCTCCTTGCTGACAGTCCCCACCTTTACTCAGACTCCCTCTCTGACTTTTTGACAGCAATCGATTTATTACACAAACTTTGATAATACTTCCTTTAGCTCTCACAGCCCTTCTTAACTATACACCTGTTATCCTCTCCACCCTTGTTTATAATATGACCCTGCATCGCCCCCTGCCCTGCAGAGCTGTATGACCCTAATGGGTCATAATGTCCCCTCCTTCGATGCCCACATTCTGTTCCCCAAACACTCACACCTGGATCTTAAATTATTTGAACATAGTTCTTGAAATTATTCAACAAAATACTTCAAGCTAGTACACTGCTTGCGTTATTAAATTTGGTTGCGGACCCTGTGTATGTAAAGAAAAAATTATTGTACCTGACAATGTTAAGTAATTGTTGGTCCACTGGTTTAATTGATTATACACACCAGTCATATTACATAAAATAATAAAATTATGCGAGTGTACATAAAAGACACCCAACTATTACTTGGACTTTACATCTTAACGTCTCCCTATAGGCAGACAATTAATATTGGTCAATAAATAGTTAATTACCTGTTGTGTGAGAATTAAAACACACTGGGAGGCGAAAGCTATTACCATCCATTGCGGCGGTCAATTCTCCATCCGTTAACACAGCGTCTCATTTTCTATTATCAGCATTAATCTGACACTTGCACTATGCATCTGTATTATTCCCGATGTGCCACACATCAACTTATTTCATAGTACCAAATTTATGCTGATATTTCTGTAAGCTTCGATTATGTCTGATTAATTACAACATTGATTAAACCAACGTACATATTACGCCATCACCTGACTTCCAACCCTCAATGTTTTCGTACACAATACATCTCTTTTTAATTCAATAACACTTCCAGGTGTGCAATACATTGTCATTATTCGAATATTAATTTCTTTTTGGCATAACTGCTTTACTTAGCTGATTACCATAAGAGTAAATTATAAGGGATGATGTTTCTTTTGTGGCTGAACATCAGTCACATAAACACTACATTATATCAGAATTTTACAAGCATCAAAGACAGCCAGCTTTGAGAGCATGTTCAGAATAAATGATAAACATAATACATACAGGGTCGTGGTCATCCAAGGCAGCGAAGGAGGCTGCCAAGTACGGGAAAGTCAACTATGTGGTGGCCAAGACTGAGCGCTACACTGGTGTCCCTGACAGGTCCAGTTGGACCTTTGACCCTGATGCCTCTTACGTCTATTATTGTGCCAACGAGACCATTGAAGGTGTGTGCCAAAAAAAAAAAAAATTTGTGCCCTTTCAAACCCAGATAATTGGGCAACATTTGTTTAATTTGGGGGAGGGGGTAAAGGAGGTTTTGTTTGGAGGGGCCTAGACCTCCAGTAAGAATGCGTAGGCAAATGATTGATTTTATGTGCTGTTGGAGTGAGCAAGGTAACATTTACGAAGAGATTCTGGGAAACCGGTTAGCCGGACTTGTATCCTGGAAGTGGGAAGTGCAGCCCTACGCAGTTTTTGAACTACTGTAAGGGTAATTGAGAAGACCTACAGTATTTTTTTAATGCAGTAAATTAAAGAAAAAATGTTATTTGGAGAAAAGACATTAAAATGCGTCATTTTTCAAATCTTTCTAAATTTATTTGAGAATAACCAATGTTCATTATCAATAAATAATCTTAATTATCTTGTAAGATATACTGTGCTAGAGGAGTTGTAATACCTTACCTAGTTGCAATAATGTAATCTTATCAAAATATCTGATTACAATATTAAAGATTCCAGTAAAGTATATTTGTTAATGCCTGTAAAAACATGCACCCTTCCTTCCCAAAACTGGACTTTTTTTTTTTTTTTTTTTTTTTCAAGGCTACAGTTTGGTGGCTACTACAGTCCTATTTATCTCGTCGAGTTTCAAGGTATTGTCAGGAAATTAACATTGGCAAAAAAAAAGTTACACTCTTAAGAATATACCTGAATTTGCATATTTCTTCTTCATATGTGACTCCCAGTTTTCCCATGGCAGGTGTGGAATTCCATGACGTGCCCGAGGTGCCCAAGGGAGTGCCCCTTGTATGTGATATGTCTTCAAATTACTTCAGCAAGCCTGTTGATGTGTCTAAGGTATGCTGCAAAAACTAGACTTAGCATATACAGTACAGGTATTTATGTGTACTATACAGTATGTAGTTTATATTATCTATTTTAGATACAGAAAGTTTTTTGTTAGATTAGTTGTGAATTGAAGCCTTAATGATTCGTGCAGTACATTACGTACATCCTAAAATTAACAAACTGACTAAAGGCTCCATGTTTGTGATTAGGCAGTATAGTACATACAGATTAATTTTGTATATCTGATTTAAAATTCCTTTTATTGATGGTACAATATACACTACTGACAAGGTGATGAATATGATAACACTTGGGTATCTATATTGCTAAACTATTTCGCCTGCACATCAGGCTTCTTCAGTCGACTACAGAAAGCAGTCAGTCACCCTCAGTGTTACTGACCCCTCAAACTGAGGGTGACACTGATAGCACCTAACTACTACTACTACTGCTTCCTGTACTCGTCTAGTTGTGGTTGCAGGGGTCGAGTCATAGCTCCTGGCCCCACCTCTTCAATGGCTGCTACTGGGTCACTTCCTGCTCCATGAGCTTTATCATTCCTCTTCTTAAAGCTATGTGAGGATCCTGCCTCCACTACATCACTTCCCAGACTATTCCACTTCCTGACAACTTTGTAACTGAAGAAATACTTCCTAACATCCCTTGAGTCATCACTTGAGTCTTCAACTTCCAACTGTGACCCCTTGTTGCCCTGTCCCATTTCTTGAACATGACTAAAGAAGCCTGTAGTGCACACAAAACATTTCAGCAGTATAGATACCCAAGCATTTCTAGTGTCTTGTTCACTATTTATTTATTTATTTATTTGAACATGATACAGTGAAGTACAAAGGAATACAGTTATTACAGTGCAACATACCAAAGCCCCTTGTATGCAGAGCATTGCGGGCAGGCTTAAAATTAACTTAAGAATAACTAAGCAATGATATATTCAGTGGTAAAAACATTATTGTAAACAGATAACAATTTAGCACAAATGAGTATTACAAAGACAGGTCATATGGTCATTTACTGTTGCTGAGCATTCAGTAGAATGGAGTATTCTGTTAGGTAATGTAATTACTATAAAAAAAAAAACTTGTAAGCAACATTCAAATTACATGACACCTTCAAAAGATTGGTTAGCTTATTGCCTAAAGTTGCATGTCTTAATTTTTATAAACCTTGTAGTTGTATAGCTAAAATAAGATGTTATTATTGTGAATTTGCTTTGTATAATCACATGTTATTAAAAATTAATAAGTCATAGATTCATAAAATGGAGAAAAATTAAAAAAACACCTTGTTTGCAATCTTTAGCCAGCATCTAGTATATATGATTAAAGTGCAGTGCTGTATTAAATAAACACTGCAGTTTAAGTAATACAAATTGTATTGTAAATGTATGTTTATTTTTTTCAGTATGGACTTATTTATGGAGGAGCTCAGAAAAACATAGGCTGTGCAGGTGTAACACTTGTTATTATCAGGGAAGATCTATTGGGAAAGCCACAACCTATATGCCCAACTATTTTGGATTACACCATTATGTCAAAGAATAAATCGCTCTACAATACTCCACCTTCATTTGCGTAAGTCAAGACTAAAAGTTGAAATATTTTTTTTATCATTGTAGGTTTATTATGTTACTGTAGGGTAATACATGACAGTTTGGAAGAAATTGCACTCTCAAAAGAAAAAAATTGACCATCAGGGGATTGCCTAACTTAGAATACATCATGTATTTTTCCATTTCCTCGTATTTATTTAAATACCCTTTGATGTCTATTGCTGTAATGTGACTGCAGATTATTCAGTGTAACCATAATAATGTCTTGACTCTGTTGAAAGCAATGGATAATGAAATGGTTCTAGCGATTTGTCATACGAAACCAAATCCTTAACTTAAATCTTGAATTAATTTCTGCTGTTTCAGTAATAACCTTTACCTGATTAGATAAGCCGTAGTCTTTAAAGGCTTTGTAGAAAAAGTTAGATGCCTGGCTGCATACAGTGGTTGCCACAAAATTATATTCACTTGCCCTTGTGAAAATTTTTTTTTTTTTTGATTTCTAACATTTTCAAAATTTGATGCAAAAAGGTTTGAACATCGAATTTCTCATTTTTCTGAATTCGTTCTGGCCCATATGTTCCCTTCTACCCATGTTCAGGATAAATCGTGCACCTTTATATCGGTCACATATTGCTTTCTAATCTTATTCTTAAGGCAGAATACCATGATGAGCAGGAGTAATCTTTGTTATAGCACAAGAGCCATGATATGATTATTTTAGTAAGTAAGCGCCGTATCTGCCTATACGTATTGGAATTTTAACTTCCGTATTAAATTTAATACATATTCGCAATTAGTTCACATGAAATGCAAAAGTTAACAAATGTTTCTAGACATTCACCAAGGTATTGAAAAAGGATCCTCATCATACATTACAGTAAAAATATTAACTCTTAAGTTTTGTTTTTGATCCAGATAGTATTGCTTCATTTTCCAGAGATGCAGAGAAAGTTTGCTGTCTATACAATTCTAGTTTAAACAATAACATGATAGCTCTGTTCTTTGAATTTCCAGTCTAGCTGATACTAAAAGGGCTCTATCATCAGCATACAGTACGAGTTTACATTTGGCACTAATTGGTCTAGCCACTAAGTGGATGGGTGACCACATGGACACTGTCAAAGGACCTCAGTTGGCCAGATTTCCTGTTCAAGACAAGCACCTGCATACTTTAAATACTATGATCTTGTTAGTTATTTTATTAATAATTATGTTTAGTACATACTTGTTATGAATAGCAAAGCCTTGATTTAACAGATTTTGGATTTGACAAAATCCGTTTCCAGATAACAACCAGAAACGGACAGTTCATTAAATTCAGAAATGTCCGTTATTGTTATGGCCCCCTGGGTAAACTGCTTTTTTTATTTTTCAGACTGTTGGCTTTAATGGACACACCCTTTTCTCTCCTTTAGTTTATTAAATGTCCAAAGTCTAAATGGTGGACAAAAATCCTTAAACAGAATCCATAAAGGGAAAAAAAAATCCATTGTTTCTAAAATTGTCCATTATTGTTGCAGTTCACTGGGTAAATTGACCAGAATTCCATCATTGCTATGGTCTTAGAAATAAAATTGAACAGTCAACATTACCAGATAGCCTCTACCCATTAGTCCTTTCAACTGAATTTTCACTGTAGTAATACAACTACTACTAATAATAATCTTTAATGAGGTGTCCCTACTTCTGAATTTATAGAGAATTATAAACTTCATAACATCTAAATTATTATATTTCAGAATTCATGTGCTTGGAGAGGTGTTAGCTTGGGTGAAAAAGGAAGGTGGCATGGCGGAGATGGAGAGACGATCAGTACAAAAGAGCAAAATGATCTATACCATCATAGACAACTCTAGTGGCTTCTACAGTAACAACATACAGCCTAGCAGTAGGTCAGTCAACATTTTATTCATCTTTTGTTTTACACTGGCCTTATTTTAATTCCTATTTTGTAGATTATAATACTAATTGTTATATGTCAGGTGAATTGTAACCTTTTGATGCATATGCATTCAGTAGTCTTTAAACTTAATTATACTCTAGCACTAAGGATAAACACAAAAGTATAGATCTTTAAATGTTATACAGTTTACTTTAAACCATATTTTAGGTTTTGATAGTGCACAAGAGAATTGCAGCAGTTAATAGGCTTAAATTAAACCTGAAAAATTATGATGTACTTTAGATTCAGTTAACTAAAGGGAGTCTACTACGTGAGGCTTTAATTAGGAGGCCAAGGTGTTTACCTGGAGAGAGTTCCGGGGGTCAACGCCCCCGCGGCCCGGTCTGTGACCAGGCCGCCTGGTGGATCAGAGCCTGATCAACCAGGCTGTTACTGCTGGCTGCACGCAAACCAACGTATGAGCCACAGCCCAGCTGGTCAGGTACCGACTTTAGGTGCTTGTCCAGTGCCAGCTTGAAGACTGCCAGGGGTCTGTTGGTAATCCCCCTTATGTATGCTGGGAGGCAGTTGAAACAGTCTCGGGCCCCTGACACTTATTGTATGGTCTCTTAACGTGCTAGTGACACCCCTGCTTTTCATTGGGGGGATGTTGCATCGTCTTTTGCTTTCGTAGTGAGTGATTTTCATGTGCAAGTACGGTACTAGTCCTCTAGGATTTTCCAGGTGTATATGATCATGTATCTCTCCCGCCTGCATTCCAGGGAATACAGGTTCAGGAGCCTCAAGCACTCCCAGTAATTGAGGTGTTTTATCTCCGTTATGCGCGCCGTGAAGGTTCTCTGTACATTTTCTAGGTCAGCAATTTCACCTGCCTTGAAAGGTGCTGTTAGTGTGCAGCAATATTCTAGCCTAGATAGGAAAAGTGACCTGAAGAGTGTCATCATGGGCTTGGCATCCCTAGTTTTGAAGGTTCTCATTATCCATCCTGTCATTTTTCTAGCAGATGCGATTGATACAATGTTATGGTCCTTGAAGGTGAGATCCTCCGACATGATCACTCCCAGGTCTTTGACGTTGGTTTTTCGCTCTATTTTGTGGCCAGAATTTGTTTTGTACTCTGATGAAGATTTAATTTCCTCGTGTTTACCATATCTGAGTAATTGAAATTTCTCATCATTGAACTTCATATTGTTTTCTGCAGCCCACTCAGAGATTTGGTTGAGGTCCGCCTGGAGCCTTGCAGTGTCTGCAATGGAAGACACTGTCATGCAGATTCGGGTGTCATCTGCAAAGGAAGACACGGTGCTGTGGCTGACATCCTTGTCTATGTCAGATATGAGGATGAGGACCAAGATGGGAGCGAGTACTGTGCCTTGTGGAACGGAGCTTTTCACCGTAGCTGCCTTGGACTTTACTCTGTTGACTACTACTCTTTGTGTTCTGTTTGTGAGGAAATTATAGATCCATCGACCAACTTTTCCTGTTATCCCTTTAGCACGCATTTTGTGCGCTATTACACCATGGTCACACTTGTCGAAGGCTTTTGCAAAGTCTGTATATATTACATCTGCATTCCTTGTCTTCTAGTGCATCTAGGACCTTGTCATAGTGATCCAATAGTTGAGACAGACAGGAGCGACCTGTTCTAAACCCATGTTGCCCTGGGTTGTGTAATTGATGGGTTTCTAGATGGGTGGTGATCTTTCTTCTTAGGACCCTTTCAAAGATTTTTATGATATGGGATGTTAGTGCTATCGGTCTGTAGTTCTTTGCTATTGCTTTACTGTCCCCTTTGTGGAGTGGGGCTATGTCTGTTGTTTTTAGTAACTGTGGGACAACCCCCATGTCCATGCTCCCTCTCCATAGGATGGTAAAAGCTCGTGATAGGGGCTTCTTGCAGTTCTTGATGAACACCAGAGTTCCATGAGTCTGGCCCTGGGGCAGAGTGCATGGGCATGTCATTTATTGCCTGTTTGAAGTCATTTGGCATCAGGATAACATCAGATAGGCTTGTGTTAACCAAATTCTGTGGCTCTCTCATAAAAAATTCATTTTGATCTTCGACTCTCAGTCTGGTTAGCGGCTTGCTAAAAACTGAGTCATATTGGGACTTGAGTAGCTCACTTATTTCCTTGATGTCATCTATGTAGGACCCTTCTTGTTTAAGTAGGGGCCCAATACTGGACGTTGTTCTCAACTTTGATTTGGCGTAGGAGAAGAAATACTTTGGGTTTCTTTCGATTTCATTTATGGCTTTTAGTTCTTCCTGCGATTCCTGACTCCTATAAGATTCCTTTAGCTTAAGTTCGATGCTTGCTATTTCTCTGACCAGTGACTCCCTACGCATTTCAGATATATTGACCTCTTTTAGCCGCTCTGTTATTCTTTTCCGTCGCCTGTAAAGGGAGTGCCTGTCTCTTTCTATTTTATATCTACTCCTCCTTTTTCTTAGAGGAATAAGCCTTGTGCATACATCGAGTGCCACCGAGTTAATCTGTTCTAGGCATAAGTTGGGGTCTGTGTTGCTTAGTCTATCTTCCCAGCTTATATCGGTTAGGACTTGGTTTACTTGGTCCCACTTTGTTTTTGTTATTGAAGTTGAATTTGGTGAATGCTCCCTCGTGACTAATCTCATTATTTCGGTCTGGGGCTCCGCGCATACATGTCTGAACCTCAATTATGTTGTGATCTGAGTATATTGTTTTTGATATGGTGACATTTCGTATCAGATCATCATTGTTAGTGAAGATGAGGTCTAGTGTATTCTCCAGTCTAGTAAGCTCTATTATTTGCTGGTTTAAATTGAATTTTGTGCAGAGATTTAAAAGCTCGTGTGTGTGTGTGTGTGTGTGTGAGCTCTCATCAGAGCTGCCTCCTGGTGTTATTACTGCAACAACATTATTTGCTATATTCCTCCATTTTAGGTGCCTTAAGTTGAAATCCCCCAGGAGCAAGATGTTGGGGGCAGGAGCTGGCAGATTTTCCAGACAGTGGTCAATTTTTAACAGCTGTTCCTGGAATTGCTGGGATGTTGCATCCGGAGGCTTGTAGACTACCACAATGACTAGGTTTTGGTTCTCGATCTTTACTGCTAAAACTTCCACTACATCATTTGAGGCATTAAGCAGTTCTGTGCAAACAAGTGACTGAAGTGTTGAAGAGAGAGGGAATATTTTAAGTTGTTAAATGTACAATAGGCCTAGGTAATAATAGTATATGTGGGATTTTGGTATTCTTGTTTTTTCAAGGACTTCACAAGCACACCAGGGTGTAAATGTAACAACAATGATGAAGAAATATTAAAGTTTATATTCTCAAGAGAACCAGTATGATCATCAGGATCATAAGCTCTAGAATAAAGATGTTATTTCAACTTAGACTTGAAAGTATGAACAGATTCCTGACTGTGTTAACAGACACTGGTAACAGGTTAAACAATCAAGAAGCTACATAAAAGGCTTTTTCTTCAAATGATTCCTTCCCAACAGCACAAAGCTTCATAAATCCAATAGGGTCCGTGGCAATTTGCAGAAGCATTCCCAAGCCCGGTGTTGATGAAATTAATTTAAAAATTCTTTGTTTGGGTGTTGCTTTGTGTAATACTTTTATACTCGTGTATACTGTTAACTTAATTTTTTTTTTTCTGCATCAGATCCTACATGAATGTGGTGTTCCGTGTAGGTGAAGGTGGTGGTAATGAGGAGCTAGAGAAGAAGTTCTTGGAGAAGGCAGCCCACCAAGGTCTTCTCTCACTCAAGGGCCACAGGTAACTGCTACCAACACTTCATTGCCACACCTACTTTATGCCATAGCTTCTCCTAGGTGCTTCGTGACTTTTCATGTTTCTTCTTGCTTAAAAAGAAAACTTGTGTTTAGTATTGTTATTATTAGAGATGTATCTTGATGTCTTTAATGTTTAGTAGTAATCAATTAAAAAAAATTTACACAAATTTTTGTTTGCTATAGTACTACTGTATTTCCACTTTTCTTTCAACAAATTGACCGTGTCCCACCAAAGCAGGGTAGCCCAAAAAGAAAAACAAAAGTTTCTTTTTTTAACTTTAGTATTGTATACAGGAGAAGGGGTTACTAGTCCCTCGCTCCTGACTTCCACTTCTCGTGGGGAATATTTTGTGAAAAACTGTAATGGTGATCATTTAGTTATTTAGATAACATACTGGTACATAGTCTGTTAAGACACTCTTGCACCAAGAGTTGTGTTGATAGCATTGAATGCACAAGAGTTTGGATCAAACACTTATAAGAATCTCATTAAGGATTCTGTCCAGTAACCTAAAGATATTCCTAATGTTTAAGAAAGTCACATACTTGATCAAATGGGTAACTTTGTTAATACTCTGATAGTCATCCACAAAAGAAGTTAGTCTGTTAGGTCTTGATTGCCACAGCTTGCTGTGAAACTTCAAAAATGCTTTCCTCCATCAGGTTTATAACATTTGTAATGAATCAGATATTGCTGCATACATAGAACCATCAAAATCTTTTAACAGTAAGTGGTACATCTATCCTTTCATCCGTTTGTCCATTCAAGGGAAGGATGCAGAGCTGTGTTCCTTTAAGCTCTATTAATAAACTAAATGGTACTTTATTTTTTAGCAGGTTGTGTAGACACAACTACCTACATACAGTACAGTATTGTACCTGTATTTAAAATTATAGTTCAGTCAAACACAAAGCAGTAAAGTCAGTTTTCAGAATTGCATTTTGAACTGATGCTGCTTGCATTTGGTGTACTGAGTATTTTTGTACCAAGATTTTGATCCTAGGTATGAAACTCTTAGTTATATAAACTGGAATTATACTTTCCAAGTTTCTGGGAGATACATGAATTTGTCTGCCCAAAATGCACTGCATGCTAGTGGTTTTCTTTTGTGCCTAACAGTATTTTATTACATGTAATCTACATAACCTGTATGCTGCAATTTTTTTTTTTTTTTTATTAGCACACTGGCCGATTCCCACCAAGGCAGGGTGGCCCGAAAAAGAAAAACTCACCATCATTCACTCCAACACTGTCTTGCCAGAAGGGTGCTTTATACTACAGTTTTTAAACCGCAATATTAACACCCCTCCTTCAGAGTGCAGGCACTGTACTTCCCATCTCCAGGACTCAAGTCCGGCCTGCCGGTTTCCCTGAATCCCTTCATAAATGTTACTTTGCTCACACTCCAACAGCACGTCAAGTATTAAAAACCATTTGTCTCCATTCACTCCTATCAAACACGCTCAAGCATGCCCGCTGGAAGTCCAAGCCCCTCGCACACAAAACCTCCTTTACCCCCTCCCTCCAGAAAAATATTATCATTATTAATTCTATGCTTGTCACTAGGTGGAGCTTTTACAGATATTTTCTGCTTCCTTAATCTAAAGTAATGTCAGTCTCATTTCAGATAATATTACTAGATTCTTTCGACAGATCCGTGGGTGGGATCCGCGCATCTCTGTACAATGCCATCACCATTGATGACACTCAACGGCTGGCAAACTTCATGAAGAACTTCAGGGAGGAGAACAAAATCTAACACTGTTTAGTTTTCTTGTATATTTCTGAGTACTGTATTTGCTCATACTATATAAAAAATTTCAAATGTATGCTTTTTACCTTTATATTTGTAGGGTTCATGCAATTGGTGCAAACTATTTACAACTATTTTGTTTTTAGACTGGAGTGCAGAAACCCTGGACAGTCCTAGGGATGGGTGATAAGGAGGAGATGGAGGGAAGGGTGTACGAATCAAGGATAAAAAGGAAGAGAAAGAGTAAAAGTATGGAAAATGAAGAGAAAAGATGACAGGACTATTATGAGACATTAAACCTGTGAACACAGAGGTTGTTGAAGAATGTCTTTACTTTTCTTGGTATAAATGCCAAGGGTATGCTGAAGTATCAGTATCAGTATCAGTGGGTATCAGCCCAAAACTGGGTATAGGCAAAATTTTTGGTATTGTCCTATCCTTGATAAAGGCATCATTGCCATTTCATCATTTATTGAAGTACAGCATGTATTTACATGAAAGTTTTTGCATTAATTGTTAATGCTTATATTCTCTTGGTACAGCCTCCAGAGAAGGGGTAAGAGGGGTAGAATGAAAGGAGTGGAGGATGGGAAAGGTAAGGAATGAAATGAATGGAGGGCAGGAGGGGTGAGGAAGAGGAAAAATGAAGAAAAGGAGGCAATAAAAGGTGTGAATGGTAAATGATAAATATTTTGTTGGGAAAATTTGAAAAACAGAACTAAAATAAACAATATAATTATCTTAAATAAAAAAAGAAATAAAAGTATAATTACTACTGTTGACTGGTGTAAAATTATCAGAAATTTTATAGGTTTATAAAAAACATATTTGTATAAAGGCTGGTTATAAATTTAATCTGTAGACATGATATTTTTTACATAATTATGGCTGAAGTATCATTTTAAAAATAAAAGTTATATTAGGGATGATTATGACTGGTCTCTGGGTTAGTTGTCAGGAGTACCAAGTGACTTGCTAGTTTGTTTTGCAGTTGGTGTTGCGAGGCACTCGCTTGAACTTGGCAGTGTTGACCATGTGTTGTCTGAGCCTTGCCCTGCAGCCTGCCACCAGTTTGCCCCGTGGGCGTGGAGAGCGGGTCATAACCCACGCCCACTCTGCCCGCAACCCAGGGAATTCTGCGCAGGAGTAGAGGCAGGCGACGTTGGTGTAGTCTGTCCACACCACCCACACATTCAATGGAGGCACTGTCACCACACACAGGCAGGAAAAGAGAAACGATAACATGAGAACAGATCACTACTACATGTAATGGCCCATACTAGGCATATCTAACTCACAGCCAGCCCATCCCAAGGAATTTGATTCAGTGGTCCTGGCTGATAATACTGAAGTGATGATAATAGTCTAGGATAAGCTGAACATTTACCACCCATGGTATTGTAACTTCAGGAATGTTATTTATGTGAAGCACTAAACCATGTGGGTAGTTCAGTTCTAAGTGGCATAAAAAGAAAATAAATGTTAATAAATGGTTATGCAGTGGTACCTAGACTTTTGAGTTTAATTTGTTCCATGACCGAGCTCATAACTCAATTTGCTCTTGATATCAAATCAATTTTCCTCGTTGAAATTAAATGAAATGCCCCCAAAATCCACCCCAATTATTTTTGTTATGGGTTTTTAAATAAAAATGTATTTATAAATAAGAAATACTGTATACTCCACCAACCATCTCTACTCCACCCACCACCATCTCTACTCCATCCACCACCATCTCTACTCCACCCACCACCATCTCTACTCCACCACCACCCTCACTGCTCTACCCACCAGCGCTGATAGTCCTTGTGCTTAGCGCTTCTTTTTATAAAATAAAATAATGCTCTACCCACCACCCTCACTGCTCCACCCACCACCCTCACTGCTCCACCCACCACCCTCACTACTCCACCCACCACTGTCTCTACTCCACCCACCACCGTCACTACTCCACCCACCACTATCAGCAAAAAATCGACAAAACGATGGCTTATAACTCGGAAAACTCGTAAGCTGGGGCACTCGTAAGTCAAGGTACCACTGTATAGTTATGTACTAACCTACACAACTTTGGTTGTGGAGCACATTTAGCTGGGAAAATTCATATAACCACAGAGTATTTTTTAACTATTAACCTGACACGAGTGGTATTAACTTTTGGCTGTTACGTGTCTTGCATCCCTGCCTATCTCAACATTCATAGTAGTATCAGATTCCTTTAGTGCTGTACAGGCTAGCCCCCAAAAATTTCTTATCCCCTCATTCTTCATGTACAACTTTGGTTATGCTGCATTTCTGGTAAAAATAGACATCGTTTTCTCCTGGGACCCTTGACATGTGGATGTTTGGGGCAGTGAGCAGGTGTACTCTGCTGTGAGGTCAGATGTTCATGACCACCTGATTTCATATACAGTATGGCTATTCCATTCTCGGATCATTTTGCAGTAATCTCTAGACAACTTTGCAGCCGTTGGCAACAACAGTGGTCTGAGTTGATCCATAACAAATTGTATTCTGTTGAACCTTGCTTGGGCTTCTAGTCTTACCATTGCTGTCGTGTTGGGTAGCTTATACTCTACCGCCCATGTATCGGACACACACGTCTCACTCGTGGGTACCTCGTGAAAAAGTACTCGGCACTGCTGTGAGAATTGTCGAGTTTCATTATCAGTTCACCATCTCTTAATAGACTGTCCTATATCAGTGTGCATACAGAATTTACCTCCAGCGTTTTCACCGATCTAACACTATCTGATTTCTTCGCCAACAATCCCACTTCAGACGCAGACTGCCTGTTTGTTTTTTGTCAGCGACGGCTTTATTACACTATCTTTGATTATATTTTCCCTTTAGCACTGCCCACTACCCTGACTGACTTGCACACTCCTAACCCTCAGTGGTCTCTGATGTTCACATTTCATCTTTAGCACATCCAGCCCTGCAGTGCTGTATGACTCTTGTGGGTTTAGTGCTGAGTTTTGACTGTAATAATTGCATGAATCAAACATATGAAGACCCTTTGCCTAAGTAGAGATCCTGAATGAAACAAATCAAATACGTATCAGTATTGGCAAACATAGCAAACTGTAAAAGTTACTACTAGTATTAGTTATTAGTACAGAACCTGTAATCAACTTATTCCTACTTCTGCATTTTTTTTTTTTTGTTCTACCTCTTAGTTCCCTTATTCAAACTGTTGTATCTCGATCTTCTCTAAGCTTTTAAACCTCTTCAAGGGGGGCTCCTTGGCGTGGTGAAGAGGCTCTTGGTCTGAGGAATTAGACCTGTCGGTCTCCTTCCTCGGAAGAAAACCTAATTACCCCCCAATCCCCCCCTTCCCTATCCCATCCTCCCCATCTTCCCCTTTTCCCTTTCCTCTTCCCCCTCCCCACCCCTCCCTTCTGCCCTTCCTCTTTTTGGCCTTTGGGATTTTCCCCACAGGCGCGCTAGTTCCTAGGTAGGGGAAAGGGTACCGGGGTCCATCCCATTCCGTTGAGGTTCTTGGCAGTGGCGTAGTTTGCCGTGGAATCTGGATCGCCTGGGGATGTCCCGATCCCTCTCCGGTATTCCGGAGAGTAGCCTTGGGTGTCTTTCGGGCGACGGGTGTATCTCTGGAAGCCACCTTTCGGATTCCGGGGGTGGTGGCCGAAGGAGGTATGCTTTGTGGCGGATATCCGGCCACCCTCTCTTTTGTCCACTGAGGTAGCTCAGCAGATGTGAGGTTGCTATCCTGGATTGCTGGTTTACTGGCATGATGGGTAGGGTATGGCACGGGTTCCATGCTGCATCTATGCTACTTGCGGTGCTGAGGTCCTCTTGGGCGCGGAGGGAGATTTCTGGCCCTTTCATTCCTCCTAGGAACTATCCCTCCCTGGTCCCCCCTTTTTTTTTATTCTTTTTTTATTTTTATTTTCTTTTCTTTTTTTTTTTTCTTAAAAACAAAAAGAAAGAAGTAACCTAACCATGGAGAACCCAATCCATGAACCTGGTACCCCCGGGCCCCTTCTTGATACCGCACCCTGTTCTGACCCCGCCTCATCTTTGGACCACTCTTCGGACACTCCTCATGCCTCTGTACTTCTTGCCGGTGCTGTTTCCTCACCCGCTTCAGGTACTAAGGTCTCGACTGACTCCTTTGATTTATCTGACCTCCGCTCTCCTTTGACTATGCTTCCGGCCTCTCCCTCTACGGTGCGGCAATTTTCGAATCGCCGGCCCATTCCACGTCGGACCAACTCTGGTCCCACACCTAAATGCCAACGACAATTACCTGCTGATGATACTTCTCCACCTTCTCGTTCTTCTCGGAAAATATCGACACGTCCTGCACTCCCTTTCCACGCTCAGTTTCAGACTGCACAATGGACTAAATTCTTCACTTTACGACCGACTTCCTCTACCGTCTATCTTTCCAACCACAGTATTGGCAAGGCACTCCTACGCCATGTTGGTAAAGATATTTCTTTTCATGCTCTTAAGAGCGGTACGCGCATCATCACTGTACAGAATGCTACCCAAGCTCATGATCTTTCTCTTCTTTCCCATATAGATACTGTTCCTGTCACTATTGAAAAACATCATTCCCTCAATTCTTGTAGTGGTACCATCATTCTGCCCCATACCATAGTTCAACAAAATTTCCAGACATGTGGCAATGACATTCTTGAACAGCTGGAACTCCAAGATCTCCCAATCCTCAAGGTAGACACTTATGTTCTTCCTGCCCGCGGGTTGAGACGATACCCTAGCAATGTGGCTCGTTTAACTTTTGACAGCCGTGAACTCCCATCCTCAGTTTATGTAGCAGGACATCGGTTACAAGTTCGAAAGGTGATCCTTACACTGCAACAGTGTAGAAATTGCTGGCAATTTGGCGATCCAGCGAAATATTGCAGATCCATAGCCGAATGCCCAGTCTGTGGTGCCGATGACCATTCTAATAAGTCTTGCAATCGACCTCCCTCTTTCCTTAATTGTCATGAGGCTCACCCTTCGTACTCTCGCTGTTGCCAAGTCTACTTAAATGAGCGGGAAATCCGTTACCTCAAAGAGGCAGAAGGTCTCCCTTATGCCATGGCAGTTTCTCATCTCCGCCTCCAAGGGAAACTACCTCATGTTTCTTATTCCCATGTTTCAAAACGTCCCCCCACTTCTGGGGTCCCATCTTCTGCAGCCTCCTCTGTAGTTACCTCTCCCATAGTCACTCCTGTATCTAATTCTTTTGCTGTCCTAGGCTCAGACGTCCCTACTTCAATGCCTCGGTCTGTTCTCGCTTCTTCGTGTTCTCCCTCATAAGCCTCAGTATTGACGAGACCTCGTACGACATCTCCTCCCAATCGTCCCTCTACTTCTCAGAAGTCAAAAAAAGGTCCTTTAACCCCTCCTTCCCTTCTTCCACCTCCTCATTTTATCTTCCCTGTCTCTGTACCGGGTTCTTCCCCTCTCACTGGCTCTGTTAAAAGTGTAGAGGTTCACCCTCCTCCTCGTACTATACCTACCTCCCCTGTTCCCTCCCAAGTTTCTTCCTCTTCTGCCACTTCCCAGGTTTCTGCCTCTTCTGTCCCCTTCCACACTTCTTCTCCAGTTCCCTCCACCCTTTTGCCTTCCCCTACCTTGGTACAGTCCATTACCGTTCCAATCTTTACTCATCCTCCCCCTACCATCTCCAATATTGTCTCCCATACGACGTCTCTGAATTCCAAAACACTTGAAGCAATCTCTGAATATACTGCAGAGACCAAACCATCAATGGACACTGATCCACCCTCTGTTCCTTCTCTCTCCTCTCCTCCATCTGTGCAACTCCTTTCTTCACAGCGCACCGTTCCTTCGCTGCTTGAACGTTTTTCCGCTGCCTCCGCATGTGGACTTCTCTAACCCCTCTAGTCCGTAGGAACCCTTACCTGCGGATTTCAAGTATCTTTATCATTGCCAATCATGACCTAATTACAGTGGAATATACGCGGCCTCAGGGGTAATCAGAGTGAGCTTCAGATGTTACTCTCCCAGTTTTCCCCTGCTGGTGTTTGCTTACAGGAATCTAATTACACTCTGCTGTTATCTCTCCCATCTCAGGCTATAATTTATTGTATTCTTCAGATCCTTTTCCTGATGGGACCTTTAATGAAAGTGCCCTTCTTCTACACGCTGATATTCCGTACCATCAGCTATTTGTTCGTACTTGGCTGCATTACACAGTAGCCCGTATCCACTTGCATAGGTGGTATATGCTCTGTTCTTTATATCTCTCTCCTTCTCGGGCATTATCTATTCTGGATATTGCCTTTCTTGTTTCGTCATTACCACCACCGATTCTGTTACTTGGCGATTTTAATGCCCATCATTTCCTCTGGAGGGGTTTCGCTGTGATTCCTGTGGCATTCAGTTAGATGCTTTTCTTGCCACCCACCCCCTCCATGTTTTAAATACAGGTACTCGCACCCATTTTGATCCTCGGACTCACACTCTCTCTTCCATCAATCTCTCAGTCTGCTCTTCCTCTGCCGCATTAGACTTCACCTGGTCTGTTCTCCCGGATTTACATGACAGCGATCATTTCCCAATCATTCTTACTTTCCCTTCATATTCACCACCTCTTCGTATCCCACGCTGGCAATTTGATCAGGCAAATTGGAACCTTTACTCACAACTAACTGTTTTTAGTGAGGCTCCTTCTTCGTTCTCCATTGATGAGCTTTTACACCTCTTCTCGTCCTCCGCTTTAACCGCAGCGTCTCATTCTATACCCCAAACTTTGGGCAGGCATTCTCAGAAATGCGTACCTTGGTGGTCTCCTGCTTGTGCTCGTGCAGTACGTTTGAAACGCGCTGCATGGGGCAGGTACCGGTACAATAGAACCACGGAGAGACTTCTTGATTTTAAGCAGAAGCGTGCGATCGCTCGCAGTGTCATCCGTGATGCTAAACGCACTTGCTGGCGAGATTGTCTCCACCATCACCTCTACTTCCTCTATGAGTGCAGTCTAGAAAGAAGTACGAAAACTGAGTGGTAAATATTCTCCTGACCCGGCTCCTGTTCTGCGGGTTGCCGGTGTTGATATAGCAAACCCACTAGATGTTGCCAATGAAATTGGCAATCATCTGGTCCGTATTTCTCAGGGACTCCATCTATGCCCCTCATTTCTTTCCTCAAAGTCTGCCAGAGAGTTAGCACCCTTGGACTTTTCTTCTCTCAGAGAAGAACAGTATAATGTGCCTTTTACACTTCAAGAACTGGAGGCAACACTCAGCTTGCCGATCATCGGCAGCTGGGCCCGACGACATTCATATTCGTATGCTACAACATTTACATCAGTCAGCCCTTGCAGTCCTATTATGCCTTTTCAATCTTATTTGGTCACAAGGAGTTCTTCCACAGCTGTGGAAATCTGCCATTGTTCTCCCTTTCTGCAAACCAGGCACTACGGGACATGAAGCCTCCCACTATCGTCCCATTGCTCTTACCAGTGCAGTTTGCAAAGTGATGGAACGCCTGGTAAATAGACGTTTAGTGTGTTATTAAGAGAGACACAACAGTCTCTCCACTCGTCAATATGGCTTTCGTGAGGGACGTTCTACCATAGACCCTTTACTATGCTTGGATACATATGTTCGTAATGCCTTTGCGAATAACCACTCAGTTATTGCCATATTTTTTGACCTTGAGAAGGCATATGACACAACTTGGGGGTATAATATTTTGGCCCAAGCCCACTCCTTAAGCCTCCGAGGCAGTCTACCATCCTTCCTTAAGAACTTTTTAACTGATAGACATTTCCGTGTTCAGGTTAATAATGTGCTCTCCCCGGACTTTATCCAAGCTGAAGGTGTACCCCAGGGATGTGTTCTGAGCACAACACTTTTTCTCCTTGCTATTAATGATTTGGCCTCTAGTCTTCCATGAAATATTTGGTCACCACTCTATGTTGATGACTTTGCTATTGCCTGTGCAGGCGCTGTCACCTCATTACAGTTTCTCTCCAGCATGTGGTTAACCGTGTTTCCAATTGGGCCACCACACATGGGTTTAAATTTTCCAGCACTAAAACCCACCAAATTACTTTCACTAGACGCTCTGTCATCTCCAATCATCCTTTGTACCTCTATGGCTCCCGTATCCCTGAACATGATAGTCAAGTTTCTGGGCCTCCTCTTTGACCGTAGGTTATCCTGGAAACCTCACATTACCTCTCTGAAGGCAACTTGTCACAGCCGGCTGAACCTTCTTAAAACCCTTGCTCATCTTTCATGGGGAGCTGATCGTCAAACCCTCCTTCGCCTACATTCCACCCTCATTTTATTGAAACTTGATTATGGTGACCAGATCTATTCAGCGGCATCTCCTGCTACTCTCTCTAACCTTAACCCCATTCATCACCAAGGATTACGTTTATGCCTTGGTGCTTTTCGCTCTTCCCCTGTTGAGAGCCTCTATGCAGAAGCGAACGTTCCATCCTTATCCGATCGACGTGATGCCCATTGCCTTCGCTATTATGTATGCTCTCATGACCTCCGCAATCCTTACATTTATAGAATGGTCACTGATATTAGTAGACATTCTTTATTTGTTCGCCGCCCCTGTTTACTCCGTCCCTTCTCTCTTCGCCTTCATTCGCTCATCTTCTCTTCAATTACCACCTTTCTATGTTCATGTAGCATCTCACTTTTCCCTACCCCCCCCTGGGAAGTTCCAGCTGTTCAAGTCTGTTCTTTCTCTCTCCCTTGCTCGAAAGCCCAACTGTCTACGGTCGCTTCCCGCTCTCTTTTTCTTGACCACTTCCACTCTCATTCTCGTGCCATTGCTGTGTACACAGATGGCTCTAAGTCTTCTGACGGCGTAGGATTCGCAGCAGTGTTTCTGGACAGCGTCGTACGAGGGCATTTACTATCTTCGGCTAGTATTTTTACTGCTGAATTGTATGCCATCCTTGCAGCACTTATCCGTATTGCATCTATGCCTGTGTCATCATTTGTGGTTGTCTCAGACTCCCTTAGTGCTTTACAGGCTATACAGAAATTTGATACACCTCACCCCTTAGTCCTCCGTATCCAACTTTGGCTACGCCATATCTTTACCAAGCATAAAGATATTGTTTTTTGTTGGGTCCCTGGAACAGGCAGACACTGCTGCACAGTCAGCAGTACATGACCTACCAGTTTCATATACATGTAGAGGTATTCCATTTACGGACTATTTTGCTGCAATATCTTCCCACCTTCACACCCGTTGGCAACAACGTTGGTCTACTATGCTCGGTAACAAACTTCAATCTATTAAACCGAGTATAGGTTACTGGCCGTCTTCTTATCACCAGTGTAGAAGTTGGGAGACTACTCTCTCCCGTCTTCGCATTGGCCATACTCGTCTTACTCATGGATATCTCATGGAGAGGCACCCTGCTCCTCTCTGTGAGAATTGCCAGGCTCCATTATCAGTCGGCCACATTCTGTTGGACTGCCCACTTTATCAACGAGCACGCAGAATTTACCTCCGTCATCGTCTTCACTCCGCTGCTCTCTCTTTACCTTCCCTTCTCGCTGATGGACCCACCTTTCATCCGGACTCTCTCATTGACTTTTTGACAACTGACTGACTTCACAAATTCTGATATCTTCAGCCCTTTCTACCTCAATCTCTTGCTACCCTCTACCCCCATACTATCCCCTGCCCCGCTGTTTTCTGTAACCTACTGATCATCCCTCCTCCCTTCTGCCACCCAATACCCTCGCTTCCTTCCCTACCCTGCAGCGCTGTATAGCCCTTGTGGCTTAGCGCTTCTTTTTTATTATAATAATAATAATAATAAGCTTTTAAAATTAAAATTTGACCCAAAGATTTCCAACACTTCCCATCCTGAACACCCCCTCAGCTTCCATACTTCCGTCTATGTCGAGTTGGAGTGCTCTAGAGTGTGACTCTGGCAGCAGGGCGAGGACCCCCGCTCTGGAGATCTTTCCACCTTTTACATCACGTCCCTCAGTCACCACTTCCAGGTACCCGTCTGAGGAAGACAGCATCAAGTAAATATACCTATAGGTTAGATATTGCTGAGCAGCATAGTTACAGAATTTGATCTTTTGATAAAATTGTAAATACAATACTGTAGTTCATTACTACATACTGGATCTTGCATAGCTAACAAAATATATTAGCCAAGTCTCAAGACCCATTATGTGTCTTTAACTGAATATTTATTTTTTTTTTTAACTACCTCCCATAGGATTTCTTGTTTGGTATGTATTTTACCTGATTTTGGCTACTGAATCTGGGTTAAGGGTGCACTGTAGTAGATGTATGTGGAAAGAAGAATCTAGATGAATATTAGTGTATGAACATAGATGTTGAAAGATTCACTCCTCTTGGCCACCTTGGAATTGCTACATAAAAAAAAAAAAAAAAAAAAAAAAAAAAAGAGGAAATTCCGTGCACTGGAGATTATCATTTTTGCTCACTGCTTGCCAATGACCAGTACTACACCAAATTTAGTCTTGTGGAAAAGGGCACTTGTGTGCAGTTTGGGACATTTATTAATTGAAAAGTTTCACCACAAGTGGCTTCATCAGTCCATCAGGACCTTTTCTTTAATAAATGTCTTGAACTATACACAAGTGTCCTTTTCCAGTTTGTTGGTATCACCATACCATTTACCATCAAATTTAGTTTTCTAGCCCATGCATCACCTGACCTGACACATAAATTTACTGTTTTCTATTTTATTTATTGTGCTAATGCAGCCCCTGCTTGGCACAATGTTTCCTAAGTAAATACCTTAGTTACTTCATCTGTATTTTTCTTACTCTGCTTCTTATCAAGTGGTTGGAATAATTATTATTATTACAAATTGTTAAGTCAGAACATGTTTGTATTTCCCTTTTTCTGGGGCCATCCTACCTTGAAGATGGCTGATAAATTTAAAAGAAAATAAATATTAATACAAATTTATTTTTCAAGACTTCTTACACAGAAAATCCCATACTTATGCAAGGCCGCGTCATCAGTAGAACCCCCGAATTCACTTATTCAGTATCTGTGGTTTTAGTTATCCACAGTTTACTGTGGCCAAATAATACCTTTTAATTTCGCATAATAATGGCCCCAAAGCACAAAAGTAGAAAAGCTGGCAGTTCTTCAAAGCCTAAGAGAAGCCATGAAGTGCTTCCCATCAGTGAAAAAGTGATAATTCTCCACTTGCTGTGCATAATTTATCGATTAATCTTCATAATAGGCATATACTGAATAGGACTTATATACATGTATAGGGTTTGCTACTATCCGTGGTTTCAGTATCTACGGCAGGTCCTTGGAATGTATACCCCATATATACGGGGTCCTACTGTACTAGTAGCCCAGAACATAACCTGCTGTATAAGCTGGGCCCTCATGTACTACCTTGGGAACACTTAAATTTATTGGTTGGGTACTAGAAGTGTTATTTATCTTACAAACTGTTGTCTTTTACTGAGGTATGACTGAAAATACTTGTGTAAGCCACAGTAGCATTTACTGGTGTTGGTGGAGGATCTAATGCTGTAGGTGGTGGCAGTCTCACCAGTATAGGTATAGGTAGAATGGATGCAGGCAGTAAATGGCTCGTCATCGGTTGGGAAGCGGATGATGTGGTACCACTGACCCTCCAGCTGCAACAGAAATTAATATATATTCGACTAAGGTTCATTCAGACATGAACACCTTCCTACTGTCAAGTTAGACAGACAGATGAAAATAAAAATGAGAATATGCAGGAATTATACAGACATAAAAAGGCATTTTATGGTAGTAGGTTGGTAGACAGCAACCACCCAGGGAGGTACTACCGTCCTGCCAAGTGAGTGTAAAATGAAAGCCTGTAATTGTTTTACATGATGGTAGGATTGCTGGTGTCTTTTGTCTGTCTCATAAATATGCAAGATTACAGGTACGTCTTGCTACTTCTACTTACACTTAGGTCACACTACACATACATGTACATGTTTATTTATACACACTCATCTGAGTTTTCTTTGATTTTATCTTAATAGTTCTTGGTCTTATTACTTTTCCTTTTATATCCATGGGGAAGTGGAATAAGAATCTTTCCTCCGTAAGCCATGCGTGTTGTAAAAGTCAACTAAAATGCCGGGAACAATGGGCTAGTAACCCCTTTTCCTGTAAAGATTACTAAAAAAGAATAAGAAGAAGAAAATTGTCAAAGTGGGAAGTCTGAATGTGCGTGGATGTTGTGCAAATTGATAAGAAAGAGATGATTGTGGATGTTATGAATGAGAAGAAACTGGATGTCCTGGCTTTAAGTGAAACAAAGCTGAAGGGGGTGGGAGAGTTTCAATGGAGAGGAATAAATGGGATTAGGTCAGGGGTTTCAAATAGAGTTAGAGCTAAAGAAGGAGTAGCAATAATGTTGAAGGATAAGCTATGGCAGGAAAAGAGGGACTACAAATGTATAAATTCAAGGATTATGTGGAGTAAAATAAAGATTGGATGTGAAAAGTGGGTTATATGTAAGCGTGTATGCACCTGGAGAAGAGAGAAGTGTAGAGGAGAGAGAGAGATTCTGGGAAATGTTGAATGAATGCGTGGGAGTTTTGAATCAAGTGTGAGAGTAATGGTGGTTGGGGATTTCAATGCTAAAGTGGGGTAAAAATGTTATGGAGGGAGTAGTAGGTAAATTTGGGGTGCCAGGGGTAAATGTAAATGGGGAGCCTTTAATTGAGCTATGTGTAGAAAGAAATTTGGTAATAAGTAATACATATTTTAATGAAAAAGAGGATAAATAAATATACAAGGTATGATGTAGCACGTAATGAAAGTAGTTTGTTAGATTATGTATTGGTGGATAAAAGGTTGATGGGTAGGCTCCAGGATGTACATGTTTATAGAGGGGCAACTGATATATCGGATCAATTATTTAGTTGTAGCTACAGTTAGAGTAAGAGGTAGATGGGAAAAGAGGAAGGTGGCAACAACAAGTAAGAGGGAGGTGAAAGTGTATAAACTAAGGGAGGAGGAAGTTCGGGCGAGATATAAGCGACTATTGGCAGAAAGGTGGGCTAGTGCAAAGATGAGTAGTGGGGGGGTTGAAGAGGGTTGGAATAGTTTTAAAAATGCAGTATTAGAATGTGGGACAGAAGTTTGTGGTTATAGGAGGGTGGGGGCAGGAGGAAAGAGGAGTGATTGGTGGAATGATGAAGTAAAGGGTTGTGATAAAAGAGAAAAAGGTAGCTTACGAGAGGTTTTTACAAAGCAGAAGTGTTATAAGAAGAGCAGAGTATATGGAGAGTAAAAGAAAGGTGAAGAGAGTGGTGAGAGAGTGCAAAAGGAGAGCAGATGAAAGAGTGGGAGAGGCACTGTCAAGAAATTTTAATGAAAATAAGAAAAAATTTTGGAGTGAGTTAAACAAGTTAAGAAAGCCTAGGGAAAGTATGGATTTGTCAGTTAAAAACAGAGTAGGGGAGTTAGTAGATGGGGAGAGGGAGGTATTAGGTAGATGGCGAGAATATTTTGAGGAACTTTTAAATGTTAAGGAAGAAAGGGACGCGGTAATTTCATGCACTGGCCAGGGAGGTATACCATCTTTTAGGAGTGAAGAAGAGCAGAATGTAAGTGTGGTGGAGGTACGTGAGGCATTACGTAGAATGAAAGGGGGTAAAGCAGCTGGAACTGATGGGATCATGACAGAAATGTTAAAAGCAGGGGGGGATATAGTGTTGGAGTGGTTGGTACTTTTGTTTAATAAATGTATGAAAGAGGGGAAGGTACCTAGGGATTGGCGGAGAGCATGTATAGTCCCTTTATATAAAGGGAAAGGGGACAAAAGAGATTGTAAAAATTATAGAGGAATAAGTTTACTGAGTATACCAGGAAAAGTATACGGTAGGGTTATAATTGAAAGAATTAGAGGTAAGACAGAATGTAGAATTGCGGACGAGCAAGGAGGCTTCAGAGTGGGTAGGGGATGTGTAGATCAAGTGTTTACATTGAAGCATATATGTGAACAGTATTTAGATAAAGGTAGGGAAGTTTTTATTGCATTTATGGATTTAGAAAAGGCATATGATAGAGTGGATAGAGGAGCAATGTGGCAGATGTTGCAAGTATATGGAATAGGTGGTAAGTTACTAAATGCTGTAAAGAGCTTTTATGAGGATAGTGAGGCTCAGGTTAGGGTGTGTAGAAGAGAGGGAGAATACTTCCCGGTAAAGTAGGTCTTAGACAGGGATGTGTAATGTCACCATGGTTGTTTAATATATTTATAGATGGGGTTGTAAAAGAAGTAAATGCTAGGGTGTTCGGGAGAGGGGTGGGATTAAATTATGGGGAATCAAATTCAAAATGGGAATTGACACAGTTACTTTTTGCTGATGATACTGTGCTTATGGGAGATTCTAAAAAAAAATTGCAAAGGTTAGTGGATGAGTTTGAGAATGTGTGTAAAGGTAGAAAGTTGAAAGTGAACATAGAAAAGAGTAAGGTGATGAGGGTATCAAATGATTTAGATAAAGAAAAATTGGATATCAAATTGGGGAGGAGGAGTATGGAAGAAGTGAATGTTTTCAGATACTTGGGAGTTGACGTGTCGGCAGATGGATTTATGAAGGATGAGGTTAATCATAGAATTGATGAGGGAAAAAAGGTGAGTGGTGCGTTGAGGTATATGTGGAGTCAAAAAACGTTATCTATGGAGACAAAGAAGGGAATGTATGAAAGTATAGTAGTACCAACACTCTTATATGGATGTGAAGCTTGGGTGGTAAATGCAGCAGCGAGGAGACGGTTGGAGGCAGTGGAGATGTCCTGTCTAAGGGCAATGTGTAGTGTAAATATTATGCAGAAAATTCGGAGTGTGGAAATTAGGAGAAGGTGTGGAGTTAATAAAAGCATTAGTCAGAGGGCAGAAGAGGGGTTGTTGAGGTGGTTTGGTCATTTAGAGAGAATGGATCAAAGTAGAATGACATGGAAAGCATATAAATCTATAGGGGAAGGAAAGAGGGGTAGGGGTCGTCCTCGAAAGGGTTGGAAAGAGGGGGTAAAGGAGGTTTTGTGGGCGAGGGGCTTGGACTTCCAGCAAGCGTGCATGAGCGTGTTAGATAGGAGTGAATGGAGACGAATGATACTTGGGACCTGACGATCTGTTGGAGTGTGAGCAGGGTAATATTTAGTGAAGGGATTCAGGGAAACCGGTTATTTTCATATAGTCGGACTTGAGTCCTGGAAATGGGAAGTACAATGCCTGCACTTTAAAGGAGGGGTTTGGGATATTGGCAGTTTGGAGGGATATGTTGTGTATCTTTATACGTATATGCTTCTAAGCTGTTGTATTCTGAGCACCTCTGCAAAAGCAGTGATAATGTGCGAGTGTGGTGAAAGTGTTGAATGATGATGAAAGTATTTTCTTTTTGGGGATTTTCTTTCTTTTTTGGGTCACCCTGCCTCGGTGGGAGACGACCGACTTGTTGAAAAAAAAAAAAAAAAAAAAAGGCATTTGCAGATAATTATTAATCCATTATTTAATTTTCTCTTTTACACTTATCATGACTAACTCATTTTCTTCCCCATATACTCAGCCTTCCATGTATAATTTTAACCTGGTGAAAGGTTTCCATATACAGTGGACCCCTGAGTTTCGGCAGCCTCGACTTTCGTGAAATTCGATCTTCGGCGAGTTTTTTTTTTTTTGGAAAAATTTGGCCTCTAGTTTCATGAAAAGACTCGTGTTTTGACGACCGTCCGGTACCCGTTCACCCGTCACCACTCACACCAAGCCAGTCTCCCACGTCATTCACCCTCAGTGTGCCATTTTTTACCAACACATGACCATCACCCCGCGGGTTCATACAATACATTTCATAATAATCCATTGTTTTTTGTGCTTGCATCTGCTAAATAAGTCATCATGGACCCAAGGAAAGCTAGTGCAAGCCCTTTGGTAAATAAAGTGAGTGACGGGGATGTGGAAGAGTTGGTGGAGGACCACAGGGAAGAGCTAACCACTGACGAACTGCAAGAGCTTCAACTGGAACAGCATGTAGATGAATGGTTCAGAGAGCCGAGGAACTTGCTTCAGAGGAGGAGGAAGAGGGAGTGGATGTGGTGCCTTCTTCAGTGATTAAGGACATGTGTGGAATGTGGAATGAGTTGCAAAGTTTTGTTGAAAAATATCACCCTGACCAAGCTCAAACAAGCCATATCTGCAACATGTACAATGACAGTTTTGTGTCCCACTTCTGGGAAATCTTAAAGAAACGTCAGAAAAAGACCTCTCTAGAGACAGATATTTTGTGTGACAGGGGTCCAGTGACTCTCAAGTTGTTCCCAGTGGCATTAAAAGAAGGGAAGTAACCCCAGATAAGGACTTGCTACCTAAAGTCCTAATGGAAGGAGATTCTCCTTCCAAACAATAGTGTACACCTTCCTCCTATCCCCTCCTCCCGTCTTCCATCCACGCAGAAGTCTTAAGTAAAGGTAAGTATAATGTTATTATTTTTTTAAATACATGTACTTGATTTCTGATTGTTTTCATTATGTAAATCTTTATTTAATTTGAAAAAAAAATATTTTATTTTAATAGTTTTGGGTGTCTGGAACGGACTAATTTTATTTCCATTATTTCTTATGGGGAAAATGGTTTCGAGTTTCGTGAATT